AGTGACTTAAATACTTTCATTTATACAGCTAAGCAGTGGGTTATTTTGAAATTGTAAAGTAGTGGGCTGCTTAGCATGACTGTTAAGTTGGCATGTCAATGTGATATAAGTAGTTTTAGATATGTTGAGGGTCTTCAATACAAAGCACAAGGCTGCTAAGCTTATTTCTAGTTAAATAAAAAAAGTTTGTCTATTTTTTTTCTAAACATTTTTCTGGAATTTTTTAAAAAAAGAAACATAACCAGCTGGATTTTTTTTCAATCATGTTTTCCCCTACAAACCACTTTCATCGCAAATCTCTGTGTCAAATTATAGAGATTTTCCTTCCTCTAAATGTAAAGATCATTAACTAAATAGATGCATGAAAATTCTTGTTATATGAGTGTCACAGCTTTCCTATTCTATTTATACTTGTAACTCGATAGAAAGTACCTTAAGTCTCGATACGTCTAGGTGTCCCTGGTTCAGTTCTAGTTAACGAAATAAAACAATTAAACCACTAGATCAAACACATAAACTTTAATCAGGTTTACTGCATATCACACATGCTGGTCTCTGTCTCACAACAACACACTTCCGGTCATTCGCGCAGAATGTAAAAATAGATTATACATACATACATACATTCATCCGTGACAATGAGGATTGTTTTATTGGTTATCATTATATATGCAAACTGTCAGTTCAGATATTTGAATATTTCTATATCCTTCTCAATATCTTTGCATTTTGTTGTGCCTCCAGGCATGTGGTTTATGCAGAAATGGAAAAAGTCTGGCTCACTGCTACAGCTATCACTCAAAGATCATAATGACTTGAGACAGACTTTCTTGTACAGACTTAGTCAAAAACCAGGTAAGACAAAAGATTGTTTTTATTTTTCCAACTAGTATTTCATGTTACACTTTGCACTAAAGAAGATGACACTTTGCACTAAAGAAGATGACTCTAGTGCACTTGGTATTAAATGATAGACATTGATGTTTCCCAGCTAAAGAGAAATTCAATCAGCATAAAGGTTCTGTCTGTCTGTTTCGTTTGTTAATGTCTTCATTGTAATGTGAACTCTGCAATAACTTTTTCTCTCTCGTGTCAGTCCTTCACAACTTCAAGCATGTCCTACTGGTGGGCTCTCATCAAGATCGCTACATACCATACCACTCTTCTAGGATAGAGATCTGCAGGGCAGCACAGAAAGATACAACTACCACAGGTAATCATCGCTCACTGTCTTATTCAATTGATTCTTGAATCCTTACACAACTTGGTCAGATATATTATTGCCTTTTATGATTTCAGATTTGAAAAAAAAAAAAATGAAATTTAAGAATTTTGACATAAGTGTTGAAGTGTCGGATGGGGGGAGTAACTAATGAATAACTGTTTGTCCCATCCCATTGACTTCTGGATACATATAAATCTATTCTGATGTTAAACTATATCATTCATCACATTGGCCTCCTTCAGTCGCAAATGATAAATGATTTATCAAATCGCATTTGTTCAGGAACAAAGGTCAGATTATTTGCATGCAATTGCATAATATATAGAACAATAAAAACTACACAAGATACAGAAATTTTACAAAGAGAATTAGATGAATAACAGAAATGGGAATCAAATTGTAGCATGTCTTTCCACTCAAAATATGACAGTTATTAAGAGTAACAATAAAACTAAAAGAATTCCACTTAACACAGACTAAAAACCTAGCTGTTATAATAAATCAAAAACTGTCATGGAATCCCCATGTTGACGAAACTATCAAAAAATCAAACAAAGCATTAGGATTTATTAAAAGAAATTTCTATAAATCGAATAAGAACATAAAACTAAAATGTTATTTAACCTTGGTTAGGCCAATATTAGAATATTCATCCTCTGTTTAGGACCCCTCAACTCAAGAAAACATTAAGAAACTGGAACAAACACAAAATAGAGCAGTGAGATTCATAACAAACGAATATTCATATTAGACTAGAGTAACACCTTTAGTAAACTCACTAAATTTAGAAAGCCAGCAAGATAGAATACTTAAAAGTAAAGTAGCAATTATACATAAAACACTGAACCATAATCTTCAAATACAAAAACAAAACTTAATAAAATACTCAGAAAGACACAAAGAGAAAGGCACATTCCTCGTTCTGTATGCTTGGACAAATTTGTACAAATACTCCTTCTTCCCTAGTGCTATTGAACATGGAATGGGTTGCCTGAGCTAGCCAGGAAAGCCAGTGACTTGGCAGAATTTAAGTCATTGGTTAATATGCATGACGCGTAGGACGTAATCATTTTCTTTTTTGAAGTAACGTCTGTATTATATAAGGTAAGATAAGATATAGAACAGAATCAAGATAATAGCCAATACAGTGTTGGGATCAGCAGCTTTACACAGTATGCCAGAATATAGAGCACAATCAAGATAATAGCCAATACAGTGTTGGGATAAGCAGCCACACAGTATGCCAGAATATAGAACAGAATCAAGATAATAGCCAATACAGTGTTGGGATCAGCAGCTTTACACAGTATGCCAGAATATAGAGCACAATCAAGATAATAGCCAATACAGTGTTGGGATAAGCAGCCACACAGTATGCCAGAATATAGAACAGAATCAAGATAATAGCCAATACAGTGTTGGGATCAGCAGCTTCACACAGTATGCCAGAATATAGAACAGAATCAAGATAATAGCCAATACAGTGTTGGGATCAGCAGCTACACACAGTATGCCAGAATATAGAACAGAATCAAGATAATAGCCAATACAGTGTTGGGATCAGCAGCCACACAGTATGCCAGAATATAGAACAGAATCAAGATAATAGCCAATACAGTGTTGCAATCAGCAGCTTCACATGGTATGCCAGGATATAGAACAGAATATATTTTTCTTTTGTTAGACTGCCAAAGCCCTTCCCATGTTTGGGTTTAGTTGCAAGGTAGTGGAAGTTTGGAGTCACATCCAGGGATATTGTTCTACAGTTCTATTGCTCATGTTTATTTATAATATCAGTTTATAACATGTCATTGATTTAGTTAAAGTCATTGATTTTGTTTTAACTAGCATTTGTTTGTATGCAGGTGCTGTGTACAGAGAAATGGTGCAGAACATCCTGGAGCCTATTATCCAATCAGCTCATTGCACTCTGATCCGCTACGATGTTTTCCACGCTCTTCCTTCCACTGCAAACACAATGATTGGCCGTGCTGCCCACATCGCAGTCTTGGACTCAGAGATTTTTATAGAGAAGTTCCTAACAGTGACTGGACTCAAATACTTTCAGTGAAACGAACTCTTGTTGTGATTGACCGTGGGCAGTCCCCCTTTTGTGATATACTGGTACCATATACTGACCAGTGTTTTTTTTTTGGTCAATCAATATTTGGGGTTGTGTCTTATCAATAGGTTGTGTAGAAATTTTGTTTCAGTTGATTTTTGCTGTTATCTTTTCATGTGTTGTCTTTTCTTATGCCAGTTATTGATTTTATATCTCGTCTAGGATAACAAAGTGTTCTCTTGTTTAGGGTTAGTGTTTAGTTTTTCTGAAAGTTTATTCTTGCTCACAGGTCAGTTCACAAGTTCAATTAGTTTATGTAATGTTAAGGTTTAGTTTACCTGTGAATACTCTGTACTGTTTAGTTTGCCTGGGAATACTCTATGCCAATATTGCAGTTTCTGTAAAAGAATTTAAAAATATGTGTAGCAGATAAGCTTAAACTACTTAGTTAGCTGGAGGGGTGGGGTTTGATGACTCCCCTATGTAGACTAGGAATCGAATCAAGGAAGCTCTGTTACCTTCTTTCAGTTACCCCCACACAGATTATGCTTTAAAGGCACCAAAGAGGAGCTGTACAATAGTAATAATAATTATAAAAATGGTTTTACTTCAATGTTATTAGAATTTCAGTCTTTGTTATCTTCTGACCAGTAAAAGCACCATGTTCTTATTAAATAGGATTATCAACTTAAGGCCATGTTAATTTCCAATGCCATCAGGAACCAATCACTTGTTCAACTTTGAAACATACATTTTTGTATCTCTCCTCCTCCATGTGGTGGTGCTGCACATTTTCAGTCCATCTTTATTTTATTGTATCAGTGTTTGGTTTCTGATTTTTGTACTTAATCATTTATAGGTAACATTCGGTAGAGGGAGTTATTTCACTTTTGTCTGACCTGGTTTTAAACATTTGACATCAAAGGTTTACAGAAAAAATTTTGTTTATTGTAAAATTATACAGACTACCTGACATACCAACATAATGCATTGGAATAAGTTTAGTGTATAAATACTGTAGAATACTGTATAGCCACAAATGACGAAAGTTGTTAAAATGTGAATTTCCGGTAGTTTATCATTCTGTTATAGGGGATATAGAGATTTGTGAACATATGTACCACCATTCACTTGTATCTTTATTTATACTTTTCTGTTTTTTACTAAATTATATAACTTTGTTCTACTAATATAATCTCTTTATTTTTGTTGTTGACATCAAATGGAAAATAGTTATCTTTTGATCCTGTAAAGTTTGTTTCCTAATATTTATTGAACTAAGTTGTGAAAATGGATTTTGTTACACTAGCGTTTCGTCTCCCAGGACATTTATTTTTTTTGCTTTCCTCTCTAGTCCCAATCTTCAGAGTTCTGGGTTTTTATGTTTGAAATCAAAAGTTAGCAAGCTGACATCTCAATTAAAAGCAAGATGGAAGCATTGAACTAGTGATTTCTGATAAGGACAACAAGCATAAAAGTGAATATGTGAAGGGATGTCTGAAACATATATAACAAAACAAAGGATTGTTGTTATTCTAGCTGCTTTGTTTATATGTGAGCTGGGACGATTTTTCAAGCTACTTAAATACATTTTTGTTTTGTAATAGAACTTTAAGTTGGCACTTTGTTAGACCATGGTTATTTACCAAGTGTGGTAAATGCCACTTCAATGTGCAGGCTCGTTAAAGAAGACACTGGAAAAACAGCTTCTTAAAGCTTGTACTAACCCATAAGGCACACTGAGCTTCTACTAACCCATAAGGCACACTGAGCTTTTACTAACCCTTAGGGCACATTTATGAATGATTTAATTACTAAAAAGAACTGAGTCTACTCTATTAGAAATACATTTCATCCCCTCACCAAATTATACTATTTTTAGTTTTTGAAATTCTTGCAAGAGTCACATATACAAGCACATATACAGGCACATATTACACTTGCTCTGTAATCTCCCACATTCACTTGGTAGAGTCCACGTGTGATCTTTAAGATCACTGCAGCTCAAAAGCTTAGCGAATTAAATAATGAGAACCTTCACTTAATTTTATAACTAAATAATCTGATGAAATTTTTTTGTCGGATTTAATTATATTTGTTTTGTTAATCATCAGACTAAAGTTCAATCTGGAAATTATCAGAGAGTATAATCTATCTATTAGCAGTCTGTTGTAGAGGCTTACTTGTATCCAAATCTATATAGACTCCATATGTTCAATCCTATTGATGAAAATGGCAGGCAAGACCCCCAATATCTGCTTTGTGTGTATATCTTATAAGTCAGTGTTATAAAACAAACTAACCTAAGTCGTTGAAAATGTCTTTTTCTAAACTTGTTTCTGTACAGTGTTACCAGTAGGATGTTGACTAGTTTATGTGAATGCAGACTTTGTCACAAGGTTTAACTGGAGCGGGGGTGGGGTGGGGGGGGGGGGGGCAGCAGACTGCAAGGAACCACACATCCTTCCACATCTGTACATTACATTCCTCTTCCTTCCCAGCCACTATTAATGTTCAACTGTATTTAGAGACATATGTCAGGTGTTGTGGTTGGCACTTTCATGTGCTGATTTGAACACTTTTTAGTTGTTGACTTATAAGCCTTTCATAAAGTTTCTTGATTTGGTATTGTGAGGTTAGTTTTTAGTTGACAACAAACATTCAAAGTTAAAGTCTACTTATGTTCCGTCTGTTTATCATTGTTAGCACAATGTCAGAAAAAAAAATGTCAACATTTGAGAAACATTCTTTTTTTCTGACCTGGTCTGTGGTGAGACGAATTCAAATGTGTGTGAACTTATTTTGATCATTATAAATTTGATATTTTAAGAAATTTTGTGTGACTTAAAGTTGATATACATCGAGTGTTTTTGAGTGCTGGTATAAAAAAATCTTGTTATCTACTGTTGTTTCTCATCACCGCTGGTAGAACATGTACAATACTCTTGTCATAAGTGATTTATATTTTTAGATTTGTACCAAAACAAATTATGGTCACATGCGTTTTATTGTTCCATAGCTGTGGTCAACTCTAATTGTTGGCCAGTCTTATTGTTCCATAGTTGTGGTCAACTGTGGTCAGTCTTATTGTGACATGTACATTGATAATACTTTTAGTACCATTGAATGTACTGTTTGTTTGTATCATATCACTATTTATGTATAGACCATGATAACTCCATCAAGCAATAAATTTCACTGTATTCAACTCTATACATATCTCTGACATCATTCATTGCCTTAAGGAATGCATCATGTCAATTAATCATTCTTAATTAAAGAATCTTCATTCTTATCAATATGCTAGTAATGAGTGCCATTGAGTGTAATTATTTGCTTCCTATTCCTAATTTGTCATTTATAATCATTGATAGCATAATACTTCAAATAGGATAAGTTTGTTATCATCGCTTAACCCTTCATGTGCATCAAGAAGTCTTCAGGTGCACTAAGAAGTGCACAGGCAAAGTTCTTTTTGTTCTGTGTCATATCACAGACAAGCTGGTCCATTCTGTCACATTGTCCAACCAACTTCTGACCACCTTAACAGTGTTTTACACTGGATTATGTCTAACACTGTGTCCTAACCAACCAAGTGTCCATTGTTTCAAAGTATTTCATTTTTGTTAACTTTTAATTGTAAGCCTAATTAGTGGCTTGCTGACATATAAAGAAGACAATGGTCTTAAAACAATGAATAAATGCACACTCTAAGGGCAGACTTTATGGTTTACAGTTGTTCATCATTGAAACACTTTCCAAATCACACTGTGAAATGTTATGACCTAGCCATAAACCAATAAATTATTTGATGGCTCAGATCAATGTCAATAAATCCAACTAGAAACTAGATCTGATTTGTCCCCAGCTGGCAGAAATAAAAGTATGAAGATAAAAGAAAGGGTTGAAGGTTAGGTAAGTGGGTCACAGTATACAAAAAATAGAATGGTTAACTTTGAATCTCAAAGTCATTTCATGATTGGTATAAAAATATGGGGGAAAATAGTCAGTGTTTTCATCTAGTTGTGAGGTCACAAATGTTTGGTTGTCATAAATTCATCCTTGATGTAGGCTTACTTAGCACAAACATAAGGACTTTAATAAAGTTTGAATTAATTGCGCATCTTGTCTTTCAGTGGAGTAAGGGTAAGAATAAGAAAATATCTGATTCACAAGTATTGATTTCATTGTAAATAGTATATGGGCTTGTGTAGAAACTTCATTAAGTCTACTTGTATATACTTTTTTCTGGTTTACTGGAACATTTTTTTTTTATTCAGAAATGTGTAAGGTAAGAATAATTCATTTAGATTAGGGTTCTTGCCATCGTGAGACTTAGTGTAACTTACAAATATTTTTGTTAAACTTTATTTTTCGGTTATGAACCCAGAAGAAAAATGTAACTTGTTTTTGTAAGTCTATTTTTTTTTTTATTTCTCAGACAGTTCTGAGATCATTTTCATTGTTCCCTCCCCTTCTTCTCCATTCACACTAAGTGGTCTTGGTTGTTGCATGGACTAACACAGTTGGAATCTCACAATCTATCATCCAAGTTAACGGTTAAAATTTAAAATTTCGAGATCAGGTCCAATGTTATGACTTGCCCAAAGTCCTCATCTAGTAACGAGTCAGTCCGAAGCATTTTCTTAGTCGCTATGCAACATGATGATCTGAACATTAGGCCAAGTCTGTAAGAAACACTTAGCCTCTGATGCACAACATTGAATTGAATGCATTGTAATCTTTGTATCAAGCTGCCAGTATTTTAGAACTATAACCAAGAAGTATGTTTTTGTTTTTTATTATGAATTGTGTGTTTTTAATTATTTTGTTAAGAGGAAACTTGTTATTGTTAGCAATATCTCCCTAGACCACAAAGTCAATCACTCTGTGTGCTGTTCAACTAGATGAGGAGGTTACCTTATAAACAAATTAAAAAACAAATTTTTAATGTAATAAAATAAAGTTGTTACTGATTGGTGTTCTGTGCTTATTTGCTTGTTTTAATGTTTCATATGACAGTAAAGTATGGGCACAACATGGCCTAAATTGTGAGGGATAATACAATATTTTATTTGAAGGCTAGACTCTATGTATGCAGATCATTTCTAACTATTAATAGTGTTGGAAACAAAGACATAAGGCTGAGTTGACAAATAATTGTTACACTGCGTGTACCATATAGGGTTGGGTATCACTTTAAAAAAAAATGAAGTATCCTTTCAGATCTTGTGTCTTGTTTCTATGGCCAAAAGTTAACAAGGGTCTCATGTGGCAAGCACAATGACTAACCATCTTTACTTTCCTAACTAGTGTCAGGTACCCATTAAAGTTGAGTAGACATGGTGTGGTGACACAATTGTTGTGTCTAAAAATCATGAAATTCAAAATTGCAATCTTCACAGAGATTTGAACCTGAGCTCTCTGTTAAGAAGACAAGTGCTTTACCACTCACCTACCCTGACACCTTGGGTATCACTGCTGTGTGCAAACACAAATTCAATACAAAGTCTAAGACTTACAAGACAATATTTATACAAAAAAAAAAAATTTTTAAATATTCATTTTAAAGAAAAGAACAATTTTTTTTTACAATAAAATTATTAGGAAGTAACAAAGTAAATTAGATGTATTACAGAAACATTTCCTGCCCAGGTATGTATCAGTCTCAAGCATACACAGTTTTTCTGGTAAATTAATCACATTCTGAAATTGTTTTGTGCTTTATGTTACTTTTTACAAACATCCCACCTCCTCACAAACTTTTGGTTAATATGATTTGTTTGATAAGCAAACAAATAAACTTAAGACTTTTCTTCCATTCTGATGATAACTAATCTATGACTTTGTATCCAAATAGTTACTGTCACATCACTATCATCGATTGGACAAATCCAAAAAAGCTAACTCATTCTGTTCGTTAGGAATAGGTTAAACATTGTGAAAAAATACTTAACAGAAAACTTATAATACATATCACAAATTTTGTACAGCGCTAAGCCATGCTTTGGACATACAGACATATGCAATGATTTCCTGTTGGTTGTACGAGAGACACTTTATATTAGAGTCATCATTATTTTTCCATTTTGCTTTAACTTGCTAACAAGACTGTTAAATCCATCTTCTTGATGAGTTAAATATAAAGGACTGTTTTCCAACATGGATTGGACGATAGTGCGCTGAAAGAGAGAAGGTTACACTGTGAAACATTTTTTGTTTACATTAACTAAAGCCTTAACCAAATATGAAACATGAGCTACTGTAAAGTCACAATTCTTCCCTACATTAATGATACTTACAAGGACCTGGAAACTCTGCATTACGGCTGTTGCCTGACCAGCGTCCTGTCGTGGACACAAAGGCAGAACTGGACATGTAATGCTTGGGCGTGTCAGTAAAGTATTTGGTTTCATAAGCACCTGGTCCTGGGGAGGGGGGAGTTGCAGGAAGGGGCATGGCTGGTGCAGATATACACAAATAGTGTTTGCGACTGGGAATAAAATGAAAATTTGATTTCAAAACTTTTTCTTGTTTCTAAGGTTTTGTTTGACAGACATAACAAAAAATCATTCAAATAGAAACATTTGTTTTTGTGGCACTTGAAATTTCAATTTATTTTATAATTATTTCGATACCATCACAGACACAACATTCCACTTGGATACCATCACAGACACAACAGTGCACTTAGAAACCATCACAGACACAACAGTCCACTTGGATACCATCACAGACAAACAAAGTTCACTTGTATACCATTAGAGATGGTACACCTGAGTATAATAGAAACATATGACCTTTACCTCTTTGCCTTATAGATCGCAAGGTCTGATAGGGGTACTTTACTTTTTTTTTTGACTGGAAGCAGTAGCAAATAGATCTCAATGCCCAAGTTATAAATTCTCATCCTATTAAAATGCTGAAACAAATTTACATAAAGATAATTAAGAAAATCTTCTTACGGAAAAATAAGTTTCTGTGGTTGCTCCACATCTCCATTTGGATTGTATGTACCAGGACCAGGAATCTACGAAAAGTTATACACGAAAAATAGTAAAACTAAATTAGAATAATAAAAAAAAAATGAGGTTATTTGCATAAAATAGAGGTTATTTGCATAAAATAGAGGTTATATACATAAATTGTGTTGTTTATTTTTGTTTGTTTGTTTTTTTAATTGATAACAGATATTTTCTACTTATAGCCAGTGTGTATTTTTATTTATTTGTTTTCAGTACAAACGATTTGTTTACTAGTCCCATGGAAACTGAAAGGTCAGACTTACATCATCTGGTGTTTCTAAAAGTTGCCGCTTGGATTTCGATTTAAAACTTGAGAAAGGAACTTTGACACTATTGTGAAGTGGCTGGTCATTGACATTGTACTGACCTAAAGAAACCAACATGCGAAAAGTGATAG